CGTTGCGGCTATTGCTAGCTTGCACAAGAGGAGCAAAAAAAATCACCGGACTAAGTGGAAAAGCCACTATCGGAACAAAACTAATTAACCCTAGGGAAAGCTAGGAATCCCTTTGTTGATACTATTCCTCTTCTAACAGTGGCCTTATTTTGTTTTTGAAAGAACGTCAATCATTGAGTATAATTAAAATATCCTTAAATTAGTTCCAATTTAATTCAATTTCCGTATGCATTTTCCATTATGTGTACATAAGGCACTCTTGATTAGAACAACGGCCTGGTTTCCCTTGACATGTAGGGTTTGAAGTGCCGCCAAACTTGTCTTCGTGCAGATTTGTTTGGGTTTGTTTTCTAGCTTTGCTTCTGCATTTGTTTTTGTGTTTCAGTCTATTCGTTGGCTGCAACCCTAGTTCAACGGAGGATTAGGGCTCGAGGTTTGTATATCTTTGTCAGTTTGCAGGTATCATACACCGTTCATCTATTTGGAATTTGCACTATCAGTCGAGGATGCCGCCGAGTAAAGCATCAATTGAGAAGCGGCGCCGCCGACTTGGATTGGACGATGAAGGTAATAAGTTGATCTTCGTGGTTGCAGGAGATGAGGGGAATATTAATAGGGGCTAAAGGGTAAATAGGTACATGAACTAACTTACGGTGTTCAATTAGTCCCTTATATAGGAGGTTCTGCACGACCGTCGCCAATTGGGGCGGTTCTCGGTAAAACAATTTGATGAAACTTTTTGAGAATCTTCTTCATTAAGTCTAGTTTACCCATATCAAATTTCAGCTAAAACTTAAATCGGGAAGGCAATCAAATGATTTTTCGAAATGTACTGCGTTGTTTAACTGTGCAGTTATCTTCAAAAAATCATTTGACTGTCTTCCCGGTTGAATTTTTAACTGAAATTTGGTATAAGTAAACTAGACTTAATGAAGAAGATGCTCAAAAAATTCCATCAAAAAAATCCACCGGGAACTTCTCCAATTGGCGAAGGACGAGCAGAACCTCCTATATAAGAGACTAATTGAACACTTTAAGTTAGTTCATGTACCTATTTGACCTTTGAGCCTATGAATATGGGTTTCCCATTGTGGTTGTTAGTGGGTGAACATCACCTACAAGTCAAAAAAATCACGGGGTTTAGAGTTGTTTTGACTTCCAAACAATTTTGTTCACTCCTGAAAAGAGGGTGAACATCATCCCACCAGTTGACACATGACATGACAATGCTTTTAAATTTTGCAATTGTTATAAGTTTTGCATTTTTTGTTCAATTTTTTCAAAAAACATATCAATATTTTTAATTTTTATGATCTTTCATAAGATACCAATATTGTATATGTAAAATTTAAAAAAAAAATCGACTTAAAATTGATGTAAGAAAAAAAACATTTTTTTCAATTTTTTATGTATGCAATATGGATACCATTAGAAAGAACGTAAAAAGTTATTAAATCTCATATATTTTTTTATAAAATTTGATCAATAAATAAAAAGTTAAATTAATTTAAAGAAAAAAAGGGAATTAGAAGCCACATGGCAACAAATGAAGGAAGGGGGTGATGTTCACCAGGGTGAACAAAACTGCACTCACTTCCATTTGGCGATTTCACAAAAGAAGGACCAACCGGTGGACGTAGCTCAACTGGTAGCGAGGGAGTGCCACAAGGGTTTGGTTCCGGGTTCGAATCCCGGCAGATGTGATGAGAGGTTACTATGCTAAAAAATGCATAGGGCCTCTGCAAGTACCAGGGACAGAGTCCCACTCTCTATCTGTCTGATTGAGATTATAGTCCAACTTACATCCTCCCAACATATCGTCCGATCGGGGTTGGGGGCCTCTCAGGGATGGGGTGTCATCCTTTTTTTCGCAAAAGAAGGACCATCAAGGAGACAGAGGACCTAGATAATGATGGAATTGGAGCCAACTGGAGGAAAAAATGGGATCAAGGCAGGTTCCGGCTGACAGGTCAGCCAGGTAATTTGAAGACTACTTATTTATCATCACATTTTTATTTACGTTTTCGTTTAATTTTCAGACTATGTTTGTGTATTACTATTGCACGGTGTCAGTTTTTGGTAACATGGATTGTGGGGTGCTTTTTGTTTTGTTTTGGTGCTTATGGCATCCCCAATGGAGAAGTGGATTGCATCTCCACTTCACCAAATGCACTCCCTTTTAGTAGATGTGCTCTCCAATGCAACAAAAAATGAAGAGGGTGAAGCTTAGTTCGCAAAGGAGAGAGAAGACCAAAGTCTTGTACAAGGTCCATTGATAGACATTGGGTCTCACCTCACCAAGTTAAAAGTGCAATGATTATTCTCTATTTTGCTTTGTAGTTTCTTTTGCATTGGAGTAAGAAAAAAATAAACATCTTCAATTTGTTTATTTTGCCCCACATGCTCTATAGACCCTTTACATTTGGATGACACATCACCACCAATGCACCGAAAGCATTGGAGATGCTCTTAGTAAGAGGTGGAAGTCTGTTAGGTTAAACGGCATGGACATCAGTTTGGTCACCGTAGGCAACTTGTTCGTTTTGACTCTTAGGATGTTAGGATGTTTGACTCTTATATAATCCTAGGATTCGTGATTGGACCGATTGTATCTACTATGATGGACATCTATGAATTTTTGAATTATTAATCTAAGCCTTTTTCATTGGTTTACACTTTACACTTCACACCAAACCAAATGTCCACCTTAATTATTAGGGAAAATCACTATTAGGCCACTGAGGTTATGTCTTAATTATTAATGTAATCTTGCATTTTCAAAAATCAATTAGTTACCCCCCTAATTTAAGATTTGATCATTCTCATTCTTTGCCCCCTCACGTTAATATTTATCAAATTTAATTTAATATTCCTCTTAAGTCAATGAAAATGGTCTATAAAATTAATTTAAAGTAAAAAAATAAAATGTTATCATAATTATAAGTCATTGTTGTTGATCGTTATTTTTCTACTTAGCTACTCCATCATAGAATAAATATTGTTGAGAATAGTTAAGGAAAAATAGTCACGAGTAAGATATAAAATTTCATTAATCTTAATATTTTCACTTTAAAATTTTAAATATCATTTACTTTTGTTAAACTAATAAACTAATTGGGAGAAGGCTAATAGTAATCTATATATATATATATATATGTATATATATATATATACATAATAGCACTACAATTTTTTACTGTTTATTGAACAGTAACTTTACCATTCATTCTAGGGAAAACTGTCAATTACACCCTCGTACTATGGGCGAACCCTCAATTGAGCCCTCCTACTTCGAAAACCTTCAATTGAATCCGCCAAGTCTCCAAAATCAATCAATTAGGTCTACACTACCGGTTGGTTCCCGGGTTGCCCGTTGCTTGCCTTCCTGGCGCTGACGTGGACTTTGTCTATCGGTCTTTCAGTGTTGACTCAGTTAAATCATTTAACTTCCACTATCCACCCCCAATTAACACCGCACCGTGCCCTAACCTTCATTCACGACCTTAATTCGAAGCTCTGCGAGAAGATAAGCAACATAGCACTCCACGACGCTGGTCATTCACTTCTCACCGTCGACGTGAAGAAGACAAACGCCAGGTTAGTTTATAGTTGTAAGTCTACCGTATTTACATGAGGTTGGTGATTTGTGTTCGTATTTGTCGCATGAATGTTGCTATTGTGATGATATTATTACGTGAAGCGATAGTCATTTGCACTTGAGAAACGTTCATTTGGGTCATTGTTCTTTATCTAATAAAAATTTACACATTCCCAAATCTGATTTCAATATTTTCATATGTACAGCATGTTTGACAAGGTTGAACTAATCATTCACCATGGAGGAAATTTGAAGTCTATTCCTGAGATAATATACGTAGGTGGTGCAGTTAATGAAGTGCCTAAAAACGGGTGGCTCTGTATTACAAAAAACCAAGGCAGAGTATGAAATCTTTAAGACACTTGTCTGATGATAAGTCAACCCTTCATCTCATACAGCAGGCTACTAGTTGTGGAAAGTGTGACATATTTGTGGAACATGGCTTAGATGAGGTGGAATTGGTTGAACTTCTGCCTGCACCTGAAGCATCTCAACCTGAAATGCAGATGGGGGTTGAGATTGATGTGACTAGAGTGGAAGATACTTTAGAAGTAGATGTTCCTGGTGCTGAAGATGAGGCAAGTCATATACACACAGTTGGAGTGAAAGAAACAGATGGGCATAATGATGGTAGTACAAGCAAAGAGGCTGTTGTTGAACATGAGGGTGTTCATATACATACACATGAAGTGGAAGAGAGTGGAGGCCACATTGATGGTACAAACAAAGACCATGTTCCTGAAGATGAGCCTGGAGCAACTGAACATCAACAAACAGGTGCCCATATTCATGGTAGTTCATACATAGATGTTGTTGTTGAAGATGAGGAGTCCAATGTCAGCTCAGATGAATCATGGAGGGCAGATGAAGGTCAGACACATCAATCATGGATGGAAGAAGACTCTGAGGCAGATGAGTCATGGATGGAAGAAGAATTTGAGACAGAAGAAGCTGCATCAACTGACCATCAAGAGAGAGATGAGGATGAGGTCAATGAAGATATAGTGGGCTCTGAACACATACCTACACAACAGGGGGCAAACATGTGTAATGATAGTGAGAATGAGGAGAACAGTACAGAGTGTGATTCATCTAATCCCGCAGCTACATGTCTGAGGATGAGGATGATTCTGGGAGGTGTAAAAGGTCAGACAACATGTATGCTTCATTTAATCCTGAATCAGAGCCCCCAAATTTTGACGTTGGCATGTTCTTTGAAGATGGAAAGCAATTTAAGAAAGCAGTCATTAAATATGCTGTGTTTGAAAAAAGAGATTTGTATTTCAAGAAAAATGAGCCTGAGAGAGTGAGAGTGAAATGTGGGAAAACTTGCCCTTTTTCTTTAACAGCTTCATGGGTGGAGAGATTGAAGTGTTTTCAGGTCGAAGTTTTCAAAGAAGGACATAGCTGCAATCTGAGGTATAGGCTGAGAATAGTGTGCACCAAATGGGTAGCTGACATGTATGAGGAGAAAGTGGTTGAGAATCCATCAATGGGTGCAGTGGAATTGAAAAATCTTATCAAGGCTGAGTATAAACTCAATGTGTCTGAAAGCATGGCCAGCAGAGCTTTGAAAGCTATTGAAGAGAAAAACCAAACTGCTTTCAAAGACCAATTCAAAAAGATCAGGAACTATGCAGAGGAATGCCTTCAGTCAATACCTAATAGTACAGTTGTCATCAAAACTGTGAGAGTTGTCCCGGAACAACCAAGTGTATTCCAACGCATTTATGTCTGCTTTGGACCAGTGAAGAAGGGTTTTATAGAAGGGTGTAGGAAGATCATTGGTGTATATGGATGTTTTTTAAAAGGACAAATGAAGGGAGAGATATTGAGTGCTGTAGGTAGAGATGCAAATAACCAAATGTATCCAATCGCATGGGTTGTGGTTGAGATAGAAAATACCTCATCTTGGACTTGGTTCTTGGAGTTGCTGCATAGTGACTTGGATGTTACTGCCCCAGATGAGTGGACCTTCATCAGTGATCAACAGAAGGTTAAGTATCTTCATAAGTTCTTACATGTTGTTCATTAATGTATATGATATGAACTTTCATCCTCTATATGTTCCGCATAAGTGGTTAATATATTTTTTTTGTAGGGCCTGGCTAATGCAATTACCAGAGTCTTCCCTAACTCTGAGCACAGGAACTGTGCACGCCATATTCATGGTAATTGGAGCAAAGCACATCGAGGGATGAATCTGAAGAAGTTGTTTTGGCAGTGTGCCAAGTCAACATGTGAACCTCAGTTGGAAGCTAATTTAGCTGAGTTGGATAAGGCTGATGCTCAAGCACGTATTGACTTACGCAAACACCCATTCAAGTTATGGTGTAAAGCTTTCTTTAGGGATGCAGTGAAGTGTGACACAGTTGAGAACAACCTTTCGGAGGCCTTCAATAGCACACTTCTAAAAGCAAGATCCAAGCCTCTGATCCCAATGCTTGAGGACATTCGTGTTGCAACAATGAAAAGGATAGCCAAGAAGAGAAAATATGTTCTGAAATGGCCAGGTCTGGTTAGACAGTAATATGTACTATTGATTATTCTATTTGATTATCAAATCTTATTAAGCATTTTTTTTTTCAAATCTTATGCAGGTGCATTTGGTCCAATAATAATGAAGAAGCTGAATAGTAATATTCTAGCAAGTCAAGGATGGGATGTGGATTCCAATGGTGATGATGGATATGAAATCAAGAAAGGAAGAGGGCAATTCAAAGTCAGTCTTAAGAAGAGATCACGTTCTTGTAGAAGGTGGGATCTCAGTGGTATCCCTTGTGCCCATGCCATTTGTGTCATCTATGACAAGGGGGAGGAGGCAGAAGCATACGTTGACCACTGTTACAGTAAGGAGATGTACCAGAAAACTTACTCCTACACATTGCATCCTATCAATGGGGAGCTGTTATGGCCTAGAACCCAGCATGAAGAGATCTTACCTCCTTTGCCAAAGAAGATGAGTGACAGACCCAAAAAGAAGCGTGTAAGGGAACAAAGTGAAGCACGTCCACCAAGTTCTTCACAACTCTCAAGAAAAGGGCGCATCATAACTTGCTCATTGTGCAGAGGAGAAGGCCACAACAAGAAATCATGTCCTACCAAACATGCTTCTACTACTGCAGGGGCAGGTACAATGACTCCAAGTGCAAGAGGCAGACGCCCAAGAGGAGGAAGAGGGAAGAGGGGAGGCAATACAAGCAGAAGACAATCAGGATTTGGTGTGTATTTCGATGAAGCTACTGGTGAAACCATTCTGGAAGTAAGTTCACACCTGACTTGTATGTTTAAGTCATTTCAATTTGTGGCAATGATGTTTTCTCATTTTGCTATGTATGTTATATGCAGCCTGGCCAGCTCGGAGAGACAATGATTGGAGAACAATAGGAGGGATTGCTTTAATGAACATTTATGGAAGTAGTTTTTTGTCATTAGGTGGATGTAATGATAATGTACTATATTGGGATTGCTTTGGTGTATGGATGTAGGGCCGAGGTTCAAACTACCTTTTTTGTGATGACCATTGATGGGGTCATTTATTGCATTATTGTAGTTGAACGGGTACTATGCATTATTAATGAAGAAAGATTGCTTTTGAATTATTTCATGGGTGCACTACATTATTGGCAGTAATATATGTCAGTTCTTGAATTTCATGGGTGTACTACACCTTATTGTCCATACTTGAATGTCAGTTGTATATTAAATAATAGATGATGTTATCTTTGTGGTTTTAAGTGTATATTTTGATGTTTTAATACTACACATATTCTAAGTGTATACAGGTATATGAAATGCCACACAACATACACAATGAATACATTCCAGGAATCTAGGTTCTTGACAATACAAAAGTACCTAAAATGAAAACATGTGGTGAACTTGTTCAAACATAGATACCATATGACACTACATTCCACTTTCTATGACAATAAACTGGTGGTGAACTTTTTCAAACATAGATACCATTACATCCAACACAATTCAACTATGATATCTTGAATACATATTTGTTGCAAAGCAAAGAAATACAGCCAACCCTATGACAACGAGCTTTCTGCACCTCTTTCTGGCCTTAACCTCATTCTTAAGAACGGTTTTTATAGTGGTTACATCTGCTTGAACATGGCTTAAGCGTTGGACAACACCTTCAACCATGGTCTTTACTTCATCAAACTTATATCTCTTTTGCCCAGGCCTGATCATGTCTTCTCTTCCTATGTCATCCTTCCACAAGAAGTAGCCGCACCCTTCTCCCTGTTGACAATACGAACACATATTTTCAATTACACAAACTGGGAAAATGATACCTATTATCACACGAACAGGTTCTTCAAATTCAAAATCACTACCAATACAAGATTTGTTCAAAACATAACCTGCACAGCCTACAGTATTATATATGCACATCAAATGAAAAAATGTAAATTCTTTCGACGTTTTACCAGCCAATTTTGACACCCATAGAATTGTCTTCCACTCTCCCTTCCCACGCACAGCGGCGCTTTCAATCCACACCAACAGTACACTGCAGGCTCGTAATTTGTAGTGCTTCTTCGCTCTTTTATACTCGTTGCCGTAGACGAGAAGGCCATTGTTGGTCACGAGGTCAACGGTGAGAAGTGGATGACCAGCGTCGAGGAGTGCTATGTTGCTTATCTTCTCGCAGAGCTTCGAATTAAGGTCGTGAATGAAGGTTAGGGCACGTTGTGGTGTTGATTGGGGGTGGATAGTGGAAGTTAAATGATTTAACTGAGTCAGCACTGAAAGACCGATAACCAAAGTCCACGTCAGCGCCAGGAAGGCAAGCAACGAACAAACCGGGAACCAACCGATAATGTACACCTAATTGATTGATTTTGGAGCTTTGGCGGATTCAATTGAAGGTTTTCGAAGTAGGAGGGCTCAATTGAGGGTTCGACCATAGTACGAGGGTATAATCTATAGTTTTCCATTCATTCTAGGATATTCCCGATCAACACCGCACAATCCCAACCGTTCGCTCCAAAACATCTACACCGTCCTTTCTTTCATCTCTTTCCTCACCCCTTTTCTTCTCGACTTTCGATCCGCAGTCATCAGAATCCCTTCCTCCATTCCCCGGTCGTTTCAAATCCTCAATTTCTCTGATTCCATTCGAAGCCGGCATTCCTACCGCAAATCCATTTGCGTTTGGTTCAATAGTCGTGGTATTCCAGCCAGTGCGCTCGACTTCTTCCGTAAATAGTCACACTCGAACGCAAAGGTCTTCTGTAATCTATATTTGTCTGATATGATCCATCCACAATACAATTTGATTTCTCTGATAGTATTTGTATATCTTTCCTTTGCAATTTTCCAGATTTTGATGGCCTTTTAATGGCCTATACTCTGATGTTATCATTCTTACATGATGTTAAAATTCAGTATGCTACGTTATGAGTCATATGACCAGATTATACTGTGCACGTGTGGTGTTCGATGAAATGTTTAAATGATTTTCCAAAAAAATTAAATCACAAGAAGTGTAATGTTTGTTTATCTTCTTAGTTCTTACTCTGTGCTCTTATATACTACGTATATAATGTCCCAAAATGTTTAAATGATTTTTCTTAATGAGTTTAGAACACCAATTGAGTAGATAGTCAGTGCTTGGAGAATACGAATGAAGCAAGGGGCAATTGACTTGGTGCATATTTCATTGTGATTTTAACAAATCCATGGCATTGAGTACAATTTTAATGCTTATAGAACAAGAGTGAGGCAAGGAACAACTCAATTTGATCTCTATTTACATATTTAATATCTGAATTTGTAATTTATATTTTTATTATTCATTTTTTACTCAATGGAAATATGAGAACTTTTAAAATTCACCAACAAAGATTGTTTTGAATAAAAATACCACTTCTTGACAAATTTAAGTTCTTTTGACATACCAATTGCCTTCTCCAATCTATATATGTGTGATATGATCCATCGATAATACTATTTGATTTCTCTGATAATATTTGTTTATGTTTCTTTTGCAATTCTCCAGATTTTGATGACCTTTTAATGGCCTAACAGTTTCCTAAAATGGAGTATTTTCAAGTGTTATTTATGATTATGGTCTTCCCTTCATTTATATTTGTGTGGTAAGCACCAAAACTTTACAACATATGCTTCGTTTTATTGGATTTGTTTACTATCTCACACCTTTAATGTTATTATTCTTACATGATGTTGAAATTCAGTGTGCTATAATATGAGTCATATGCCCAGATTAATGTGATAACCTGGGAATTGCCTTAGGGTTGTTTGGCTAGAATTTGACTTAGAGCTTAGTGTGATGAGTATTCTTGCTAGATCTTAGATAAACTACTTTTGTAGGCCAATCATTTCTCCTATGAATATTTTGATAAATTATTCTACTTTAAGAAACTATTTTTTTTTTAAATTTAGTATGAGGAACATATTAGTAATCTGATTATAGAAGATAATTAAATAAATGAATAATACCAAACCTGTTTTTTCAAACATTGAGGTAAGAAGAGCACCAGTTGTGTTTTAGGCAAATTCACTTCTGAAAGAATTATTGGCTAAGCAGACAAGCACACACTGTATATGGCTACGCTTATGGAGTTCCTAGTTGGTTATTCTTGAGTTTTCTCAATCTCAAGTTGGTTTCATTGAGAGAAAAAACAGGGTTGGTTGCTGTTTATCAATTTTAATAACCCGTT